CAGTGTAAAATCTGACTGAAGTGGAAATTCTAAATCATTGCAGTAGAAAGTTCTTCGAATTGCCGTTCAGTAGTAAAATAAAGGTTATGGTTTTGCCATATAGTTGGTAAATTTAACACAGTATACCGAAAAATTTCGGTATATCGGTATAGTTGAATATCCGGCGGTATCGATATATCGATATTGATTTAATACTGATATTTTCGGTATATCGGTATCCCGAACAGTGCTATGTACGAGCAGCCCGCAACCACCCGGAGAAAATAGGGTCACACGGTCAATCGTGTTGAAAAAAATAATAGGGTGGGCAGAAAAAAATAGGGTCAGTCGGGAAACCAGAACCACGGGTATTTTATTTTTAGACCTTGGTATAGCATTGACAATTAAGCCCAGGTCACACCACACAACGATAACGATACGATAACTTGTAAACACGCGATAAATTGGTAAAAAAAATTATGTTGGTGTCCAAACTACAACGAAAACGATAAAATTATCGGCGTTTGACGATAACGATTTTAAAATCGCTCACCCGAGGGAATTCCTTTTGGCTTTTTTCATCGCAAAATATATCGGATGCGTGGAATTTACATGTACAGCTAAACTTCTTCACGGTTTTGAATACTTTGGCAGGTTTACTAGTTTAAATATTGCTAGAAGGAAAATATAAGTATGCGAATAGCAAATTTCCGCGTACCTACGTGGTGCTTGCCTAAAAACAAAGAAGTACCAGACCATAAATTTGGCGGGTACGCGAATTATCGCACCCTGAAGTTTAATTGGGGTAATTGTTAATTCACACATCATTTTTGCCCAAGATATCCACAATAAAATGGCTGCCATTTTGTCAGTGTGTCCTGTTTTTGCAAAATTGAAATTTCTTTAATAACTTTTCACTAAGAAAATTAGCAAGTTGAATAAAAGTTTCCTCTCTAATTCGAACCCTGATGTTACTCTATGTAGCACACATTGTTCAGTACTGTATATTCATAAACTGTTGTACAGGCCTTGGCTGAAAGGAACTCAATCAATCAAATGTCTTTTGTCAAGCACCTGTTTTCACGATGAAGAAACAATTTTTTAGGAGACGTTAAGTTTATTTTATGGATGTACTGGTTTTTGCATGGACAACAAGTGTTACTGTTATAAAATGGAGGCATTTCTCAATTCTTAAGTATTTAGCAGGTTTATGAAAAAAAATACCTTTGGGAGGAGCCCTGCCTATTTGTTAAGAACACCTATTCGTCAGGGCGAGGTTTGTATGCAAGCACAAAGTCAAGGTGTGGTTGTAACAAAGTGTTGAAACTTTGTCACTGTTGATTTAAAAACAATTACAGTATGAATATTGAGAGTTTCCAAAGGTGAGATGCTAGCTTTTAGATTTGGATAGAATATGCAGAAGCCTCGTATACCTGCAGAATTATTTGCGACGTAATTGTTGAAAGGGTGTATTAAGGGCGGCAATCTGCAATGTTCAACAACAGCAAATAAAACAAAAATCTTCCCCGTATGTATTTATGAACCCACATTTTGAACTTAAATGGGGCTTCAGTGCATTTTACGTTGCGTCATCAATACAATACTTTCCTGCAGGTACTTTAGATGATAATTATATGAAACTAACGAATAATTGTCTTCCTGACAGTTCGTTTAAAAACCTCTATTCATGAAGGTTTGAATGAATCGGCCAGCATTCCTTTAGGAGTCTGGTATGAGACAAAGCAAACTAAGAACACACGTGGTAATATCCACGCAGAATCGTTTTCCACGCAGAATCGTTTTCCACGCCGTATTGTACTGAAACGAATCCTTTATACTTTCAAAATATCGTACTTTCAACATATCGCGTATTTATTGTATGTAAAATTACACGAATGACATGCATACAATACAAATACAATATTATACAAGTGACGGGGACACCACCACAACAGTTAAAAGCAAGTATACTGTGGGCCCCGAGAGGGTCGAACTAATGACTTGAAAATGCTACAGTACACGATACGATACACTTGAAGTGGAAAACAGCCGATCACGTGGCCTAACCTGGTTATTAGCTCGCTTAATATATCACTGATCATTCAGCAAAAATGCATTTATTTTCCTAGTGATACAATATAGTTACAAACAAAATGTTGTTCAAGTAATCTTGAACTACGAGATCTTCTCAATTCAGTCCCTTAAGCATGATGATTTAGCATGCCGCCCGCCATCCCGAGAAAACAGCCCCGGTTTATCAATTCAGAATAAGGCGAAACCAAAGTTAATTATAGTAATGAGCAAGATGTTGCTTAGAATTCAATGTCATTGTGGTTTTTCACATGTTTGCATATTAAAAATTTATAGAAAAATAATTGATAATTCTGCAAAAAGTAGATATTTTTGTGATATTTACTTTACCGTTTTTAAACGTTGCGTGTTTGAAGTATAGTTTGTTATGTAAAACTTTGTTTGCATTTAATTCAATATTTTAATAGTCCTGATTGGAAGAATTTTGACGATGCGCATGTTTACTTACTAGATTAATTACTAGAAATTGAGAAGCACAGCAACATAGCTTTCATGAGTCTTCTCGCGGTTCAAACTATTCATTTGCAATTCACACTGTGGTTTTAAAGTGTTTTCACTTGCCGATGAACTTTGAGATTCTCCAGGCAAGATTGACATTAAATAAACTGGGAAAGATATAATCCGAAAAAATAAAAAGATAGCGATTGAAATTTGTTCTCCCACAGAGTTCGGGTGTTGTTCAAGCGAACCTACTATGATCCCAAAATAAGACTGTGTTCATTGTCATTGAAGCTTTTGCTTTGCATAGTGCATGTATTATTAATGAGGCTTAAAAGTTATTCCAAGGATGTGTGAGAGTATATATACATATATATATATATAGTATTCACTTTTAACCTAAACGCGCGGGCGTCGCTGCTAAAACTCTTTGTCTCTTTGAAAGTTGCGAATTGTCATGTCAACTGTGAACGAAAACCTTCACAACTTTTATTTGCTCGCGCATGGGTATGGAAAAAAGTGACATTTTTCTTTGGCTTTTCGTGTGTTACACAGGGCCGTCAAGGAAAACAAGTGTGCAAGAAATAGTTCTTAACAAGAGGCGGCCTTTGACGTGAGATAAATGTTTAACAACATTCCCGTCTGCATGTACGCGGCTTTACAGCAACGTAATTTTACTACATAATGATAACGAGAAACATTGAACTCTAAATTTATAATTTGTTTTAAATTATTCAAACCAGTTTTACACAAGGTTAACCACACGGCTGTGAATAAGTTGAACCGGTTTTCTAACAAACGCTATTATCAGTTCAGAATGTGGTAAGTTGCTTTCCAATAAAATGGACGGCGTCTGGATGGCGCAATTTTGATGAAATAATTATTTTTGTCATATAGTTAGTGTCAAAGTTCAATTTTTCTGTTTGCCGATTGGTCCGATTGGTCAAAACCGTATCACGTGCCGGTTCACAAAACGTCACATTCACTGCGTGCTTTGGCGAGGAGGCAACCGGTTAACAATGAAATATTTACTGACCGCTCAACAATGGAATCCGTGCAATGCGCATGCACATCGACCATGAAGTTCCAAAGTTCATTTTTCATTTTATTAAACATTTACGGCGTTCCATTATCCAGTTTTGGTTTCAAATTAAGTTCACTCCAATAACCGGTGAATTATTTATACTTTCATTGACACTTATATACTATATAACAAAACACTTATTTACTGAGACCTCGGGAAAGCAGTGTGTTTTGTGGCCCCTCGACCGCCGTTGTTGCCCGAGGCGAGTCTCGGGTCCACAAAACATACTGTTTCCCTCAGTCTCAGTAAATAAGAAGTATATTAATTCTTCAATAATCAGTAAAGTATTTTCCCATATATTTATATTTTCTTTTTGCGTGTACTTTTTGTGCGAACTATAATTTAGTCTTTCCTTTGATGGAAGTATTTGCAGTGAGCTTACAGTATATGAGGTTATTGTTGTGACGACCTCTCAGACGATGCTATTAAGTCGAAGAGAATAATTTTGACACTAACATATTGGTGTAGTATACGCAGAAGTGTCAATAGGTTTGATGACCCCCTACTTTGAACAGCCATAACTTTGCTTCTACTGCACTAGTTTTAATAATCTTACTGTCAAAATTCATCTCTTAGATTCAATTTTCGATGCCACTGATAAGTAACTGTGTGAAAATCTGGAACATAGCTATTGTCAGGACACCCTGTATGTTGGATCAGGAAATCATGTGATGGCGCGTACAATTAAGGATTACCAGTACGGGTTTTTTCAAAACTTTGGCAGAATTGCGCGAGGCGCTAGGGCGAGTATTGTAAGGGCAATATCACATGATCCTTGGTTTATTATTTGCTTAACAAAATTAATCATTTCTCACCCATGGGTTCTAAAACGTATTGTTCTGTTACTTCAAAACATTCTGGATGCTTGCTGAGTTCATTTCCGAATATTTTTTATCGAAATTTGATAAAAAATGTGAAAATTCAAAATTCTTACTCAAATCGAATAAATAAAACCATTGTATTCCTCTCAACCAATCAGAATTCAGTAATTTTGTCATGCAAATAATAATGTAAGACATCTGTGGAGGAATATGTATAGTGTAGTAACAGTAGTAACACACATGTTGTGACGTATTTATAAAACTTAAGATACTAATGTGAAATATATAGTATCAACTATAATATCAATTGCCTCGTAATCGCTCTTAATTGGAAAAAATATATATTTAAATGGTATTTGTATGTATTTAGTGCTTGAAAAGTTTTCACAAACCAGATAAAGACCTCCAATTCTTGTATAACAGTCTATTTTTCCTTTCTAGGCGAATGAGGAAGGAGGATTGGATCGTCAAATGGGCAATAAAACAGATTGTGCGTTGCTGGGTTTTGTTGGCACGTTACAGGATCACTATAACTACTATCGAGGAAAAATGCCTGAAGAAAGTTTCGTGAAAGTGTTCACATTTAACTCGTCCAGAAAATCCATGTCAACTGTGGTTCCACTAACCGACGAGAAGGATCAATTGATTGGCTATAGATTGCATTGCAAGGGTGCCTCTGAGATAGTGTTGTCGAAATGCACGTCTATCATTGGTTCAGATGGCTCGATGACGTCACTAAGTAGTGAAGAACGTCGTACTATTGTGAAGACAGTGGTTGAACCAATGGCTGATAATGGACTGAGAACGATATGTATGGCATATAAAGATTTTGCCAAGGATACAACACAAGACTGGGAGGATGAGTTAGCTGTCGTGTCAGAATTGACATGTCTTGGTATTGTTGGCATTGAAGATCCAGTTAGACCAGAGGTAAGGAAACCCTCAATTCCTTTTCATTGAAAAACAAGAGCTGCGGCGATGTTTAAATCTTGTACGAATTATGTTTCATTCATTTCGCCAAAATAATACCTGGTCGTGGATTTGCAGTTTCCGCACCCTACCTAGCTTTTGGCACAGAAATCACAGATCCGGATCTTTTTGAAGTTTTCGAGGAGCTTGATGCAATGTTCATACCCAGTCCTTGGCGTTAGTTCTGTTCTGGCTATATGCACATATATCATTTAACGAATGTCTGTGCCTGTGTTTTCATTTATAAAAAGAATTAATAAAAAAGTTGAGCTATACCCCACCTATTAGGTTTTTAGTATACAGTATAGGTAATAGCATGGTTTCGAGCGCAATTTGGCTATAACATGCACGAGTGAGTTTTTCAAAGACCTCGAAATAGCACGAGTCCGAAGGACGAGTGCTATTTGAGGTCTTTGAAAAACTCACCCGTGCATGTTTACCCAAATTTCGCGAGAAACCATGCTATTACTTATTAAAATTTACATAAAAATGTTCGAGACAATAGTGTAGTTTTAACTTACGTTCATAGCGAACATTCCACTTTGCAAAGTTTTCCTGGCTTTGTTATATCACATTATACAACGCCAACAGCTTGAAAATTCCACTCAACTATGTAATTTTTGTTAGTCTTGTTTAAGGTAAAGGCTTTTCCATTTAAAAATAAAGATAAAAGCCATATTTTCCACGCGAAGTCAACTTTTACTTTATGTAGCTCGGCGCCATGTTTGTTTTGTTTTGAAGCAATCTGTGACCGTTACTTATTTAAACCATGTTTAAACTAAACTGCTTTAAACTGATTGGTTGATTTTATCATCACAATGTTTTTCCACCAATCAAATCAGTTTGTTATAGATTTTTGCACTGTGATTACAGAAAATTGCACTGTGATTACAAAAAATTGCACTGCTGTTTGGGATTAAGTGCACTGAAATCAACCAATCACAGTCGAGTAATATTTTTATGTATATTATTACAACAAGAAATAGGAAACCCAGGTATTAACCGAGATATTTATGTATCATGTCAATCCTAGGTACCAGATGCAATCCAAAGTGTGCAACGTGCTGGTGTTACTGTGCGTATGGTTACTGGTGATAACGTCGCCACGGCTCGCTCCATTGCAATAAAATGCGGAATTTTGAATAACAACGAGGAATTCTTAGTCTTAGAGGGAAAACAGTTTAATAAGAAGATACGTGATAAAGACACAGGAAAGGTGAGCAATGATAGAGAGAATAATATTAACATTACAGTAGATGGCAAAGTCGTGATAGTGTTATCAATTATATAAGGTATGTACCCATAAGATTCATTACTATCCCCAAAATTAGTTCTGCTATGGGTTAGGCTTTGGATAAGATTAGGAATTAACCTTTCTCACTCCGCCATTTTTGGGATACTGCCTTTTCCAAATCTGAGATTGTACGCAGTGAATAAGGGATTTGTAAACTATAATTGTGAGTATAATCATTATAAGTTAATTTACAGTTGAATATTCGAAAAAATGTTTTCACATCTCGTAGATTTTTCAGATCGTTTCAAAAATTTACCCAAAAATGGCGAATTTGGCCTTCGTGAGAAAGGCTAATTGTATGTAAATTGATATGGAAAGGCCGATTCACACTACACAACGTTTGCCTAAAACTACTGTATCGCATGCAACCTGCTTCCAACTCGAGTTGTACTACATAAATGAACCACACAACTCGTCTACGTTGTCATAAGTGAGTTGTGTGCTTGATTTACACAGTATGCAACTTTGAATAAATCGACCTTAAGCAAATGAACTGGATATATCGTCTCTCCGTCTAAAGCAGTTTTCATACGCCCCTGGTCTGTGGTCATATCTCATTGGTCTAAGTTGAGGGGTTGAAATTTTAATATCTTTTTAGTCGCCCAAGTGGTTGGCAGTGAATAAGGTCTGGTCACCAAATATAGTCAATGTGTTATGAATTATTCCATCTGTATATAGATTTAGCATAATTACATAGGTGATTATTGAAAATGCTCCACGCTGGTTGCCGTTGAGGTGATTATTACGCGATAATCACCTAAGCGATTTTCAAAATGGCGGCCGAAGCATTTTTGTCAATTAAATGACAAAGAAATGTGTATTTTCTTATTTTTTTCCAAATAATCACCTATGAAATTATACTAAAACAATTATTCACCTCGGGCTCGGTGATTATCGTGAATAAAAACTTCGACTTCGTCTCGGTTTTTATTCACCGATAATCACCTCGCCTTCGGCGAATAATTGTTAAATAACATAAAAAAATGTTGTTTAATATGCTGGAAATTATATAACCAAAAGCAGAATGAAATACTTGAGATACTGATATGTTTTAAACATTTTTCAGTCGCCGCGACGGCTGCTTTTGGTAAATGTCTGGTCGCTAGATGAAAAAGTTGATCGCATTTGGCGTACGGCATTTCAACCCCTGCCTAAGTTATGTTCTCATTTGATATCACAAACATTCTGTGTGATAATTCACTATCAGGCATGCAATATGATATGCAAAAACATATATGGTATTACCGTATTTCATGTAAGGATCACTTGCTATATGATTGCTAGGTAAATCAAGCTAAACTAGATGAAATCTGGCCCAAGCTGAGAGTCTTAGCTCGCTCATCACCAGAAGATAAATATATATTAGTGAAAGGAATCATTGACAGCAAGCTGAGCAAGAATCGTGAGATTGTTGCAGTCACTGGGGATGGAACGAATGATGCTCCTGCGTTGAAAATGGCTGATGTGGGATTTGCTATGGTAAGAAGTGATAGATATAATGTGTAATAATTAAGATACGTTTACATGCTGCGATTTGTCATCTACGATGCGTATTCTGGGATCGGTTGGATGACCTTGGTCTTTGTAAAATACATGAAAAGCTGGAAAACTACGGATATGAACAGTATAGTACGTTCAGTATAAAAGACCTTTAACTTATAAATATTGCACTTTAATCTGAGCTATATACCAATCAACGCCTGATTTAACGAAGCTTGAAAAATAGCGCCATCCAGCCTTCGTACAACCAATCCCTGGTGTATGTAATCGAATACCGGTCAAACGCAAAGCGCATGCCCGAGTATGCGGAAATGGCGGAGCAAATATCTGCCAAAATAATAGGAGTAAATACGGGAAAAGAAAAACGTTTACTATAAGGAAACAGCCCAAGCTATAAGGTAGGGAATTTCACCGCTTTTTCCTTGTGTCAAGACGAAGTTAACTGAGTTTAAACACTCATAGTTTTCTTTCAACGTTTTGCTAGAGCTTCGTGAAGACAACACCATTTCCAGTCTTTCAAATAGAAGCAGAAAATACGCGCGGACGTTTGACTGCGGTGTTCACATAAAGAGGTTGTATTTCAAATTTCGCTAAAAAGTAACTGAAGAGTGCATGGCGTCAGTTGTCAGTAGTAACTTTCATACGCCAGAATACGAAGCGTACATGACAAATCACAGCATATGAACGTACCTTTACTCATCTTAAAGTAGTGCAATTGTTTTTGTAATTCCACTGCAGTGAGACAAGAAGAATTCACATGGCGGGAAATGCCTGCCGATATTGGCAATGTGAACTTCCAATTGAAACATCTGCGTGAATAAAATAATTTAAATACAATTAGCATTTAAACTGAAAAGATTGCTGACAAGCACTGAAAAATACATAATTGGCAAAGCTGAAATGACAGGAGTTGTAGGATCTAATTTTTTCATACAGTATCTGTAACTAATAAGTAACAGCATGGTTTCACGTATAATTTGGCGACGGGGTGGTCTGCTTTTGACTTGGAAAAATAATTTGTTTATCTATATCACAGAGTAGATAAGACATACAGAGACGTAACTGACCGTTGTAAACACTGCGGAAGATTACGTTATCATGTACCCACTTTTTTTCAGGCGACCGGGCGAAAAATGATCAACTGCGCGTGCTCAGCAAGTTTAAAGTGAGTCGTCTTCAGGTCGTCATCCAATCAGATGCATGCATCTAGTAACTTGCCGAGCATGCGCACAAAAAAAGTGGGTACACTAGTTACGTCTCTGTATGTCTCTACTCTGTGTCTATATGACATAGCCAAGAACAATGTATTGTATGTCGAGGTTGGGATTTAGGTGCTCATTTTCAGTCAGTAAAGAGTAAGCCAACAAAAAATACACGAGAAACAGTCAGTGGTATGATTTGTCATTATTGTCGCTCCTCTTCACTGAGTTTGTTAAATACGATCCACCTAAACCATCAATCAATGAGCCAAGTAAAATCGTGCGCCCGGCTTTAAGCAGGCATTCTGTTTGG